CCGTGACAGAAAAGGATCAGAATGACTTACCACAGGGTCAGGGGCATCCTCTTGCTTGCACATCACCCATGGGACCCCGGTGCCAAGACCTAATGCCATTTGAGCAGCCCATTTGGTGTAAGATTTACCAGCGGCACCCATTTGCAATTCCACTGGTCCATATTCATTCTCAATCTGTCACACAAAACATTAAAATGCATCACTGTTAATTTGTAATTACTGAATGATCCATTTTTAGGAAACCCAATTCTGAATCCAAACAAGTCTTCTTTTTCATATATTTGGAAGTTACCTGAGACATAATAATGGGTCCTCCCTGACTTTCATATAAATTATCCGACTTCATCATACCCACAATCTTCTCAGTGAATTTTTGCATAGCCGCCTTTATTAAACACAATTAAATCCATTACTTGAGAGAGAGACTTCTGAGGTTGTCCATAGACATTTAATAAATTTCTAACCTTGAAGGGTCCATTGTCTGTCCTGAAGGCGATGCCAGGAACATGCTTTAGCCAAATTGGAAATCCACTGAATTATTAAAGTTAACAATTTTTTTAATCAACCAGAATAGAGCTACATGAAAGAAGACAAATTATTAATATCATTTAAATTTACCCATAGTTCCATTCGGCACAGACATATGGACCGATCCGGAGATGAACATATAAGCCTGCTTGTTGAACTAGCTTTATAAATCTCACCAAATCATATCTGTCCTCAAAATAATACTGTAAATTTGCAAAATAAAATATAAGAAAACCAAAACAATCTAAACCCAAAAAGCAAAAACAAAAATTTTCCCATTCTACCTTGCCCTGGGTAGGTTCATGGCCATTCCAGAATACATTTGTCTCTATAACATCCAACCCTCCATCTTTGGCATTTTGTATAAGGTCCGGCCACATCTGGAACCAGAAAGAGTTTTTTAGAGAGAGAAATAAAAGCACCCGCAAGGCTGCAATTCACATTGGATGTATTCGAACCTGCGGTGTGCTTCTTGGGTAATGAATAGAGCCAGAAATCAAAATTCTTCTCTTGCCATTAATGATGATGGCTTTGTGGTCATAAGTCACAGTGGCCATTGCATAACAAACCGACGAAAGCAAACCTAAAAACAACAGCACAATCTTTGACATTCTGAAAATTTTGCTCTTCAACCCTCCTGCTCCTCAAAAGCAAATTGTACTGTATCTCACTCTTGTGTAGAGATAACATATATTTTCAGTGAGATAAAGCAGTGGTGAGAGGGTGGATCTCTTCTCCTTCTTCTCTCTCTCTTTTGAGGAAGAAAACAGGCAGACAGAGAATGGGTGAGGCAAATGCAAAAACTTTTATGGAATGATAAGGTACGCTGCAATGACGAGGTGTTGTATAAGCATTTGAAGCACGAGAAACATAAGGGTGGCGCCATGACACTGTCTTTATTTAGGACCTTCTTCTGCCACTTGCTTTCGCTCTGCCATTTTCAAACCAACCCAAGAGTAAATTGGCATCTTTTTAGGAGTAATTTTACTGGATTTAAATTTTGATTAAATAATAATGACTTTAATTTTACCCAATTAAAATTCAATGATGATCACCATTTCACTTCACATGAATACAAATTGGTAAGCTCGTGGCTCTTGAAATAGAATAGATACACATTTAAGGAATATCTAAACTGGATGGACCAGGAACTTATGGTTTTGGTAAGATTCATATAAAAAATATTTGATTTCTAAAAAATTTAATTTAACAAATTATTTATTTAAAAAAATCAAATCTTGAGTAGTGTTTTAATATATTTTAAAAAGATAAATTCTTATCCAGAAAAATATTTAGAAAGAATTTGGTTCGGCCTAGTATTAATAAGAATTTGGTTCAGCCTAGTATTATTTCCTCTTTTCCTTTTTAAACACTTCTCTGTTAGATAATAACTGTAACAGCCCTTTTTTTAGGTTTTACCAAACTATTTTTGAATTTCTTTTACTATTGTTAATAATATTTTGGGATGAGTCAAAGGAAGAGAAGCTAAATTTAGTAGGTCTATATTTATCTTATTATTTTTTTTTTTTTGGATAAGAAACATCAAACTTCATTCAAAAGAGACAACAAAGGAGCAAACAACCTAAGGGCGGGGGCAAGAAGGTCCTCCCCTAAAAAGCTGATACATTACAGCTTTCCAAGCACAAGAAAGTAAGGCTATATTGTAATATAACTTTTTAAAAAAATTTATATTTATCTTAGAATTGGCCTTACGGCGATTGCATAACTAATTTTAAAAAATTAAGCTTTTTTACTAATCAGCTTCTCATTTTATAATATAACTTTTTAACAATACTTTAAATTAATGGTAAACTTTTAAATATTTCAAAGTTATTTTGAAAAAATTGAAAAATAAACCAATGGTAGTTGTTATTAGACAAGTTAAATTTTTTTAAACTAAAAATTAATAACAAGATCATTATTAAATGAAAACTTAGATAATTTATAAAATATGTAAAAACATACAAATATTTCCTAATGTGAATTTCGTGTAATAAAGGTAATGAAAGAAAAGAAATATTTTGTTAGTAAAGTAATGATATTAATTGATTGGGGAGAACATTTTTGAGGAAATGACACATACTTTCACGACCACAAAGTTAAAATCAGCAGACCCTACTTTCATATAAAATCAAACCTTAACAACAGCAATCAAATTAAATGTCTCAATATCCAACATTATCATGACAATTTTGCCCATTAATTAATTAGTTAATACATCAAATTTATTTCAATATATTGTTGTAAGGTAACGTATTTTTGACACATTTTGAAAATTCTATCTTGATACACACACTTTTCTATTCATTGGTTAAACACGGAAGTTTTGACAAGGCAAATCTGCATATAACTGACAAGAGAGATCTACAGAAAGATTCATACCAAGAAAACAGAGGCAAGTGCTCCTCTAGCAAGTTCCTCGGCCAGACTACGGTTTTCCCTAGAAGATGTAGCTTTATAACTGCAAATGATATTCAATGTGGTTAGAAGTGGCCTCAAATATAGACTCCATGAGAAGATTACAATCATACTGTTAGGATCACTGATACAAGAACCTAACGAGATAACTATATTGCAATCTCAAACAGAAACTACAATATCGATGGCCTTTCGAGAGGGCTATCTCTCTCCCAATAACTCTCTCAAATTCCTCACACAATATTATTCCCAAAGATATTCTCCTTCTCCCCTACTACCCTTATTTATATTCATCTTACTCCTAACTAATTTCCAAACTAATTACCATACTGCCCCTTCATACTAAAAAACTAATAATATTCTCCCACACTCCTAATAGGACTCTCACACATACTTGATCAATTCAAATGATACTAACATGTCATCTGGCTCCAACCATAGCAAAGAAATGAAACTTTATTGTGTTAGATTATCACACTAAAAATCGATCTAATCAAATCTCAAACCTAAGTCTCGTCAATAACTATTTCATTATATTAATATCATCTTAACAGAGACAGATTACAACCACAGTCTCAGTCTACATTGGAAATGGAAACGTTCATGCTTTCGCATGTTGCAACTACATAAAGCAACAACATCTGTTCTCATACAGTCGCAACAATCAAGTCAAGAATGCCAATAAATAGAAACTTACAATCATCAAACAACATCAAATCTACACCAAACAAGAACATTTATAACCATATTACTTGTTAGTTTCCTACTGTCCAAGAGAAATGACTATTTACTCAATTCTCAAATCACGCTCCACATACAAAGTATGAGAAATATACGGTAAATTCAACCCTTTTGGATTACGAAGATTAGTTCTACCCTGAGTGACATTAAAAAGCTGAAGCCTCCTAAAGAACATCCTTCAAACCAAATGGATGAATTTCAATTCAACACATTCGGAATCAAATTGCTTGTGGCTTTTTACACTGTTCGTTCGCTAACAGGGGTTGGCAGAAACTGTTTGAAATCTTCTCCATGTCTACTTGTTTGCCTAAGACGATAGATGAGTGGTTAGCAGAATGCTTTCATGGGTGGGATCTCAAAGGCAAATGTAAAGAGTTGTGGGACTGTGCCTCCAGAGCCTTCCTATGGTGTTGTGGCTAGAAAGGAATATGCGATCCTCTGAGGACAAAGCGATTTCTTTTGATTCTTTTTGTTATAGAGTTCATATTACGGCCTCGTGTTATTGGAACAGGAAATTCTTTTGAAATTAAAGTCTCTCTCAAATCACTCGAGATTGGAGAGCTCTTCTCCATTAGTGTACTTTGGAGAGGGATACCTTTTCCCTTGTCCTTCTTAGGCTGTTTTTAAGTTCTTCCTTTTTTATGAAAAGTTGGTCTCTTGTCCAAAAAAAAAAATTGCTTGTGGCTTTTCGATTTCACCATGGATGGAGGTAGAAAGGACCAAAAAGGGAATGGTATTTGATTGTATCAATAAATTTCCGAGCTACCCAGAATCCCGATGATTGATTTATCTTTAAAACCAACGGTTGGATAAATCAAAGAGAATTAAGCAAGCAACAAACGCCGGAAAGTAGACCGTGAAAGTAACAGACTCGAATCCATTTACATGAAACACGAAGCGGAAACGATGAGGCGAACGCCGAGAATTGAGGCCGCATTGGTTGGGTATTCGGGGATGGGACTCGTAGCACTAACAGGTCTCGGAGCCTGCAGAAGCATGATCCACGAAATTTGAAAAAAAAAACGAAATGGCAACAAAATAATCGAAATCAAAATTCTGGCAGAGAAATTCCATGGACTTCAATTTTACTCACCATCGAATGATGATGGAAAGAAGAAGACTGGTTCCAGAAAGACGATGGACTCGGCTTCCAACTGAAGAGCGAACGAACACTGGAATCGGTAAACAGTTACTTGGGTCCAACTTCAATTAAATGACCTTGACCTTGACCTTTTTTTTACTTTGACTTCGGGCATTGGATATGAGCAGCATGGGTAAAGGTCAAATATGGATTAACGGTCAGAGCATCGGACGCCATTGGCCTGCATACATCGCACACGGTAGTTGTGGCAAATGCAGCTATGCTGGAACCTTTAATGAGAAGAAATGTCAATCGTACTGTGGAGAACCATCTCAGAGATGGTAAAAAGACACCCTCTGGACAAATATTTATAAGTTTCGTCTTGATGCATACTTAACGATAACATCTTTAAAATTTCAGGTATCATGTTCCCCGCGCTTGGTTGAATCCAAACGGGAACGTATTGGTAATTTTTGAAGAATGGGGTGGCAATCCTGATGGGATTTCTTTGGTTAAGAGATCCGTGTCCTGATAACACCAAGAAGCTTTGAGAGGCTGTCTACAACTAAACTCAATCATGCCTCACGTTTCTCTCTAGTTTCACCAAAATACATCTATAGATTTTTCAAATTATAGTTCATCCTGAGTTGCATAAAGTTCTTGCCAAGCTCAGGACAGCAGCGGGCGTCTCGGACTGTAATGTTCAAACTCGCAAGAGAATAAGTGGAGAAAAATACCAAAACCAAACACCATTTTTATGCCAAATGTAGATAGTGAAGAAGTTTGCTACGTACATAGAAAGAAAAGCTATTCTTGGGTTCAGAACTTTGATCCCAGATTCAAACCCATATTTGTTTATTTGGGGCTTATGTAATTATTCGATCATCGGTCGAGATTGTAACGTTTGAATACAATACAAATGTTTAAGCACAATACATAATCATTATACTTTATGAGAGTTGATTCTGAATGATGTCAAATATTTTTGATTGCTCGATGAAGTAAACAGTTTTAAATGATGAAGTAGCCCTACAAACATGGTCTCTATCAAAATGTAGACAATATAAGCATTCGGTTCTGCCATGACATCCTCATTAGTCATACCTTTCAATGTCAAACTTTCCACACCCAACTATAGAAAGCATCTTTTGATGCACGTGATCAAATTAACAATCTTCTATCTCCACATTTGTTATAACTAAAAAAGATTTTTTATTAAAAATTTGTTTCTTGGTAATGAAATTTTCCTTCTATTTGAATGGTGCATTTCGCTTATCCTACAATATTTGGTGAATAGAAAACACACAGGAATTACTAATTCATAAGATAGGTGGCCACCCATGATGGTTGTAATTTAACAAAAATCGCTATTTTTATTTTCTTTTTATTTTTTAGTTCAACAATTTTGAAAATTGGAAAAATCAAACAATCAATCTTAGAGAGAGGGTAATATGTATTAGTTAAATGAGTAGAGCTATATCAATAACTAAATAAAATAGGTGACATCAAATTAGAAGTGTATGAGCTATCATGAATGATAAAAGAAAGTATAAAAATCAATAATTTTCTTTTTACTTTATCAAATTTATCATTCACCACTTTTAGTTCAACCAACTAAAACATATCTCTTCGATCAAAAAGTCATTATTTAAATCAATTGAGCACGATTCAAATTAACAAACGTTCGTCATATCCCGCTAAATCTACACTCATTTGGTTTAATTAACACATCATGTATTAGCGAATTTGAAAATTACTCAATGGGTCAAAACATCGTATTTAGTTGTTGATGGAAAAATAAATAATAACTAAAATACAAATTGGGAGTCAAAATTGGTCATTTCATTTCAGGAAAGTATATTTCTGATTGAAGTTGAAACCCAATTGTTGAGTCTTCATTCCTTCAGTTGGAGACGGAGTTCATCGGAGAAAACCACAAATCTTTGTGGAATCACTCTCTTCTTTCCCTCCGCTGCAGCTGCATTCGATGGTGAGTCAAATTGAAGTCCATGAGATTTCTCTGCCAACATTTTGATTTCGATTTATTTGCCACTTCGCATTTTGTAACTTCGTGGATATCATGATTCTGCAGGCTCCGAAACCTGTTACGATTCCCGTCCCCGAAGTGTGGTGCTCAACCCTTGCGGTCTCAATTGTCGCCGTTCGCCTCATTGTTGCTGCTCCGTTTTTCATGTAAGTAGAATTAGAGTCTTTTTACTTTCATACGGTCTACTTCCCCGCGTTTGTTGCTTTCTGAAACCATTGGTTTGAGAGATAAATCATTCATCGGGCTTCAAAATTTCCTCTACATTTCTCACACTTTGTGTGGAGAATTGAGTAAATGGTCATTTCTCTTGGACACTATGAAACTAACAAGTTATAAGTAATATGGTTATTGCTGTTCTTGTTTGTTGTAGATTTGAAACGATGATTTTAAGTTTCTGTTTATTGTCACTTTTTACTTGATTGTTGTGACTGTATGCAAGAAAAAAATGTTGTTGCTTTATGTTGTTGCAACGTAGGGAGAGCACAGATGTTTCCAATTCAGACTGTGGTTTTAGTGTGTCTCTGTTAAGATGATATTAATATTATGAAATAGTTATTGATGACACTTGGGTTTGAGATTTGGTTAGATCAATTGTTATTGTGATTATCTAACACAATGAAGTTTCATTTTTTGCAATGACATGTTAGTATCATTTGAATACATCAAGTGTAACTGTAATCTTCTCATGGTGTCTATATTTGAGGCCACTTTTAACCACACTGAATGTCATTTGCAGCTATAAAGCTACATCTTCTAGGAATAACCGTAGTCTGGCCGAGGAACTTGCTAGAGGAGCACTTGCCTCTGTTTTCTTGGTATGAATCTTTCTGTAGATCTTTCCTATCAGTTATATGCAAATTCTCCTCGGCCAAACTTCCTGGTTTTCGCAATGAATAGAAAAGTGTGAATATCAAGATAGAATTTTAATACATGTCAGAAATACGATGCAACAATATATTTAAATCAAATTGATGTATTATCTAATTAATTAATGGGCAAAATTGACATGATAATATCGGATATTGAGATACCTTAATTTGTTCGAATTGTTAAGGTTTGATTTTTTATGAAAGTATGGCTTGTTGATTTAACTTTGTGGACGGGTCATACAAGTATGTGTCACTTTACCAAAAATGTTCTCCAAATTATCTAAGTTTTCATTTAATAATGATTTTGTTATTCATTTTTAGTTTTAAAAAAATTTAACTTGTCTAATATTGGTTTATTTTTCATTGTTTCAATATAAATTTGAAATATTAAAAAATTTACCATTCATTTAAAATATTTTTAAAAAGGTATATTATAAAATGAGAAGCTAATTTGTAAATAAGCTTAATTATCGTCATAAGGCCAATTCTAAGATAAATATAGACCTACTAAAGTTAGCTCCTCATCCTCTAATTTATCCCAAAATATTATTAACAACAGTAAAAGAAATTCAAAGAATAGATAAGGCTGTTACAGTTATTATCTAACAGAAAAGTGTTTGACAAGGAAAAGGGAAAGAATACTAGGCTGAACCAATTTTACCTTTCTAAATATTATGTTGGATAAGGATTGTATTTCTAAATATGTTAAGACATTAATTAACTCAATTTTTGTTTTTTAATATATAGTTTTTTAAAAATTAAACTTTTTAGAATTCAAATAAAAATTTATTATTTATATGAATCATACCAAAATTATAAAGTCCTGGTCCTCCATCCAGCTTAGATATTCCTTAAATATTGCACATTATTCTATTTCAAGAGCGATGAGTTTACTCGTTTGTATTCATGCGAAGTGAAATGATGATAATCGTTGAATTTTAAATGAGTAGAATTACTCCTAAAAAGATGCCAATTTTTGCTAACAGATTGGTTTGGAAATGGCAGAAAGAAAGCCAGTGGCAGAGGCAGGTCCTAAATAAAGACAGTGACATGGACCCTCCCTTCCGTTTCTCATGCTTCAAATACTTATATAGCACCTCGTCCTTGCAGCGTAGCTTACTATTCCATCAAAATTGTTGTCTTTGCCTCACTTGTTCTCTTTCTGCCTGTTTTCTTCCTCAAAAGAGAGATAGAGAGAAGAGAAGAAGAAAAAGAAGAATAAGAAATCCATCCTCTTTCCACTGCTTTCACTGACTGAAAATGAAAATATATGTTATCTATGCACGAGAGTGAGATACGGTACAAATTGCATTGAGGAGCAGAGGAGCTGGGTTGCAAAATTTTCAGAATGTCAAAGTGTGTGCTGTTGTTTTTGGGTTTGCTTTCATGGGTTTGTTATGCGATGGCCACTGTGACTTATGACCAGAAAGCCATCATCATTAATGGCAAGAGAAGAATTTTGGTTTCTGGCTCTATTCATTACCCAAGAAGCACACCCCAGGTTTGAATACATCTAATGTAAATTGCAGGTGCTTTATATTTCTCTCCCTCTAAAACTCTTTTTGGTTGCAGATGTGGCCGAGCCTTATACAAAATGCCAAAGATGGAGGGTTGGATATTATAGAGACATATGTATTCTGGAATGGCCATGAACCTACTCAGGGCAAGGTAGAGTGGGAAATACTTTGTTTTTGTCTTTTGGGTTTAGATTATAGTGGTTTTTTGATATTTTGTTTTGCAAATTTACAGTATTATTTTGAGGATAGATACGATTTGGTGAGATTTATAAAGCTGGTTCAACAAGCAGGCTTATATGTTCATCTCCGGATTGGTCCATATGTCTGTGCAGAATGGAACTATGGGTAAATACAAAGATATTTACCAGAGTCTTATTAATAATTTGTCTTCATGTGGCTCTATTCTGACTTTAATTTTTTTAAAAACTTTAATAATTCAGTGGATTTCCAATTTGGCTAAAGCATGTTCCTGGCATCGTCTTTAGGACAGAAAATGAACCCTTCAAGGTTAGAAATTTCTTAACTGTCCATGAACATCCTCAGTCCTCACTCTCTCATGCAAGGGATTTAATTGTCTTTAATCAAGGCGGCTATGCAAAAATTCACTGAGAAGATTGTTGGTATGATGAAGTCGGAGAAGTTATATGAAAGCCAAGGAGGACCCATTATTTTGTCTCAGGTAACTTCCAAAACATATGAACGAGAAGCTTTACTTGGACTCAAAATTTGGTTTCCTGCAAATTGACCATTCAATAAAAACAAATTGACAATAATGCATTTTAATGTTTTGTGTGACAGATTGAGAATGAATATGGACCCGTGGAATGGGAAATAGGTGCCCCTGGTAAATCTTACACCAAATGGGCTGCTCAAATGGCATTAGGTCTTGACACTGGGGTCCCATGGGTGATGTGCAAGCAAGAGGATGCCCCTGACCCTGTGGTATGCCATTCTGATCCTTCTCTGTCACGAATTTCTCTACTCGGGATGTCGTCTGCACCAAGGAACATGTACTAGGTTGTTTGTCTAACTCGTTCGAATTGTGGATGAAATGAAAAAGAGTGCACAACTTTGACATTGTTCCCTTATTGGAGTTATATTTATTTGATGTGAAGTGGGAACCTCTTTTCACCGTGGGATTTCAACATTTAATGGTTCTTGATATTTGTTTCGTTGCCTTCATTGGTGGATTTTCCTTTTATATACTTGAAGCCATGCTTGTTTCTTTATATAAAACTTTTGTTTTTGGGCTTATTTTCATCGCTGTGTGATTTTTTTTTCCTTTTCTTTCTCCTGAATGAACCCTTTGAACGTGAAAGGGAATATTGTTCTTCCTTCCCCCTAGGAGTTTTTGGAAGTTCTGGTTTTTCCATTTTTGTTTCTAGAGCAGTTAAATGGAGTAGATTCTTGAGTGTACATGCTTTTAAATGTATTATTTTTAAGTATTAACTTTTTTATGATCTAATTCGGTAGTTTTTTGGAGATAATATTTTTGATCAACTTCTTGTCCTCCTCTCTCAAAATTTCTATCTACCTTGTTCTACTTCAGATTGACACCTGCAATGGGTTTTACTGTGAAAACTTCAAACCAAACCGGGAAAATAAACCCAAAATATGGACAGAAGTTTGGTCTGGTTGGTAAGTGACATATCCTTACTTTTGAGGGATTAGAAGTTCACTCACATGTCATCTGCGGTCCTCTAGAATTGACGTTCTTTTCATTTGTGAAATATCCAAGGTACACTGCGTTTGGTGGCGCAGTTCCTTATAGGCCAGCTGAAGATTTAGCCTTTTCAGTTGCAAGATTTGTACAGAATGGTGGTTCTTTATTTAATTATTATATGGTAATGAGCTATCAAGAGTTTTGCAACCATCAATGGATATGATATCATATTCCTAACTCTTTCAAAATTTTGTCTCGTGCCAGTACCATGGAGGAACTAACTTCGGCCGATCCAGTGGGCTTTTCATCGCCAATAGCTATGACTTTGATGCTCCGATCGATGAATATGGTAAGCTTGAGAAATAGTAGCTTCCAAAAGTAGGTTGTCGGATGTTTCCATTTCTCTTATAATCTTTCTTGGATATGGCAGGCCTTAAAAGGGAACCAAAATGGGGACACCTGAGAGATTTGCACAAAGCTATCAAGTTGTGCGAACCTGCTTTAGTATCAGCAGATCCTAACGTCACATGGTTAGGAAAAAATCTAGAGGTAGTTGATGAAAGAATATCTAATGATAATTGCATTTTTCTTTGAAAGACCGGCTAATTGGATTTTCTTTTATGATTATTTAAGGCTCGTGTCTTCAAGTCAAGTTCAGGGGCATGTGCTGCTTTCCTAGCAAATTATGATATATCAACTTCTTCCAAAGTCAGCTTTTGGAATACCCAATATGACCTACCACCTTGGTCCATCAGTATTCTCTCTGACTGCAAATCTGCAATTTTCAACACTGCAAGAGTAAGACAAGATTCAAAATCACTTGGACCGAACCTTCTTATGCTTGTGTGATTATTGAAAATTAAACATTTCCTCTGAAAAAGTTGAATAAAGATACAAAATGATAAAATATACTAATAGAACCTTTAAAACTCTTGAAAACCCAAAGTTTCTTTGTTTCGATATCTTTTTTATGTTGAATTTGATGCAATGAATCTTTACAGATTGGGGTTCAAAGTGCGCCGATGAAGATGATGCTGGTTAGTTCATTTTGGTGGCTTTCGTACAAAGAAGAAGTTGCGTCTGGTTATGCTACTGACACAACAACCAAGGATGGGTTAGTGGAGCAAGTAAATTTCACTTGGGATTCGACAGATTACCTGTGGTACATGACAGAGTAAGAACTCTATCACTTTTGCAGTTTCACCATCTGTTGAATATTTTATCGGGAAATTTTGAAAACAACATCAATTATATCTTACTCTGCCCCATGTTTGTCGTTCTTAGTATACAGATTGATCCGAACGAAGCCTTCATAAAGAGCGGACAGTGGCCTCTTCTCAACATCTCTTCAGCAGGTCATGTCTTGCATGTTTTTGTAAATGGCCAACTATCCGGTGCGTGAAAGTATACATGTTTTCCCCTTAAAGATCTTCAAAACATCATCGAAATGATTATTTTTAATGGTAGGAACTGTATATGGGTCGTTGGAGAATCCCAAAGTAGCATTCAGTAAATATGTTAACCTAAAGGCAGGAGTTAACAAGCTTTCCATGCTGAGTGTTACTGTCGGCCTTCCGGTTAGTTTCTCTGTCTCTAATTTGCATATATTTCTTACTATCGATCCTGAGTTTGCTTACATTAACATTGCTCGATGTCAGAATGTTGGCCTGCATTTTGAGTCTTGGAATGCTGGCGTTTTAGGCCCTGTCACGTTGAAGGGTCTGAACGAGGGTATTAGAGACATGTCTGGATATAAATGGTCTTACAAGGTACATTACCAGACCAATCTACCCTCTCTTTGGCTTTCGGTTATATAATTTGGTTCGCTCCTGGTGCTGGCAGTAGTTCTAATATTTTAAAAGCTAGAGAATCTCAATTACAATGTTTCAATCTCTTACAGGTTGGCTTGAAAGGAGAAAACATGAATCTTCATACCATTGGTGGAAGTAATTCTGTTCAATGGGCGAAAGGCTCAGGGTTGGTTCAAAAACAACCCCTCACATGGTACAAGGTGAGAGAAAGTTGAATTTAACATCCTTAAATTTCTGCATCTTTTTCTATGGTTAAAAACTCTTCAGCTTTAACATAACCAGAGCTTCTATAACTTCTGACCGAATCTGCAGACCAATTTCAATACCCCGGCAGGCAACGAGCCGTTAGCTTTAGATATGAGCAGTATGGGTAAAGGTCAAATATGGATTAATGGTCGGAGCATCGGGCGCTATTGGCCTGCATATGCTGCAAGCGGCAGCTGTGGCAAATGCAGTTATGCTGGAATCTTTACCGAGAAGAAATGTCTTTCTAATTGTGGACAGCCCTCCCAGAAATGGTAATATGAGTTTACTGTTTCACACTGATTTATAATCTTCGTCTACCAGCATACTCAATGATAAAGCTTTTAAAATCTCAGGTATCATGTTCCCCGCGAATGGCTCGAATCGAAGGGCAACTTCTTGGTAGTTTTTGAAGAGTTGGGTGGCAATCCTGGTGGGATTTCTTTGGTTAAGAGGTCCCCATAGGACTCATTTCAAACGAGGAAGGCAAAAATGAAATAAATGACGACACCGAGAAGCTTTTGGTTGAGCAGAGAAAATGAAAAATACCCTCATAAGGGATTGTTGTGCAAAGAAAATTTTGATGTATGATAGCTAGTGTTATAGTAAAGATTATTCGGATATGTGATTATTTAAATGTTGTGTTTGATTTTTTCTAAAAAAAATCTTCATTTTGGTTGTAACATTTTACAAAATATATCCTCCAATACAAGTGGACCTTCGTTAATTTTCATTATATATTGGACCTTCGTTAATTTTCATTATATGATTTTTTTTTTTTACATTAGAAAGGTAGATAAAATTTTCGTTTGTCAAATATGTATTGAATTTTTAATCTTTTCCTACATATTGCGAGCAAACATTGGCATATGACATTTTTGTATTGTAAAAAAATATAGAAATAAATTTAGATTTTTTATTTAAATATTATAAACCAATGAGAAATTCATTACTAAACTGAAATGATATAGAAGAAATAGATATATGAGTGGAGAAGACGACATTTGAATTTAGGATGTGTTTTAGTGAAAGATATATACTAAATGTCAATTTCAACTATGCTCGCTGTGCTATTACTGCCATGAAAATTAAATAAGTATATATGGATGTAGTGATTGTATTGCTAATTATATTTACACTGATCATTTAAGTAGGTAGGAAGTAGTGTGCAAATATAACAGAAAAAATGTTTGTGATGGAAAAAATTATTATAGAAGAAATTTAAACATGTAGACTTCAAAATTTAAATCAGGAAAGTTACCAAAAAAAAAAATTAATTAATTATGCTCTAATTCTCCAGCGTGGACCACATTTCGATACTACATTGCTTCCATTACAAGATAAAAAGTCTTGTTTTCTTTGATTTTCCAATTATTCGATCAATTAATATTAGAATTTAAAGACATGTTAAAGTGGCTTTGGCTAGTAAACACACCGAATTTGAAAATAATTAATGTTTTGATTTGGAGAATGAATTTGGGCATGTAAAAGAAGAGAGAGAGAGAGAGAGAGAGAGAGAGAAAATTAGTGCATAAAAGAAAACAATACTAAATAATATTTACATTGTACTAAAAAAGATGTAAATTAAAAATAAAAATAAAAAGTTAAGTTTTCATGGGTAGATATTCATAGAAATTAATAAGATAATAAATAAACTAAATCAAATACCTAAATTACAATGTATGAATAACAATTTTGAAAAATCAAATCTAAATTTGGATAAAAGAATCAGAAATATAGTATAAGATTTATTTCCAAATCAAATTTGAATGAATGATGGGTAAAAAATCAAAACAAAAATATATTTTCATTTTTTTTTAAAACGGTTTGTTAAATAAAATTTAGGAAATCATTTTAAAAATAAACAAAGGGCAAAATAGGAAACATGAATAAAGAATATAGGCCGTAAATATTCTGTTGGTCATATTTGGGATGACTACAAGTTTTGGATATTTTTCAATTTAGAGGTTTATGCAAATCGAAAATATAATTTAACCTAAAAAATTACACTCGAAACTACAAAAAGGAAAAATGCCAAAAACATGTCATTGCACGGTGTCGAATAAATAAGGTGATAGATGTTTTCTATTGTCCCGACGTATCTTAGTGGTAATTAATATCTGTCTTTGATTAAGAGGTCGTGAGTCTAAAGTTCTCCCTCCCCACTTGTTGTACTAAATCACTTATCTAGTTTGATCAAAATAAAACGTTAAATTAGAATTTTGTTTTCTTAACTTTTATTTAGTAAAAGGATTTGCTAATGTTAGCACGGACCATTAGAGTATGTGAGAACTCATGGAGGTAATGGACGACTTCATTCAACATGTACTTGGAAGGTTATGGACTCATGCTATAGAAGGGGTCCTCTTTCTCTTGTTCGAGGGTCTTATAAGGGATGAGGTCATTCGAGTATCCGTCCATGTACTTCAAAAAGTTTATAATAAATCTGAGTTTTTAATATTGTGTTAATCTAATCTATATACGACTATACAAAACTATATAGACACAACTTTAAAAGTACATGGACTAAATATATAATTTGACATCGTAAAATTTATCACTTTCAATGAAAAAATTATAGTTTCAAACCAAATTTGTTTTCATTTTTTAAAAAGCATTCTCAAAATTATATAAAAATTTTGAAAATAATAAAAATAAGATCATGTTTAGCAATGTTTCTCATTTCTTTTATGTTCTTCCTTTTAATAAAGTTAAATAAAATTGCATTACTTGCAACACCCATGGATTCACGAATAATAAATAATATTTATATTTATATTTTGAAACAAAATTGGTGGGAACAAGTAATTTGTTTTTGTTGATTCCAAAATTTATATACAATTTTGATAATATTTCTAAAAGAAATGAGAAATAAGAAACCTAAGTGTTTGTAAAATACTTAGGTTTCTTAATAAAATTGGAAACAATAACGTTGAATAGAATTGATCCCAACACTAATGGATTCTCATTCAATAATGATAAAAATCATATTTTTTATTTACGTTGAAATAAATTGAAGATGAAAACAATAAACTTGTTTTGGTTGTTACTAAAATTTCTGTATGATTTTGAAAAATATTTATATAAAATGAGAGACAAGAAACAAAAACATTGCCAAATATACTCTAAATTTCTTGTTCCCATTCCCAATTTGTTTCAAAAACATAAATATTATTTTATCATTTTTTAATCAATAGGTGTTGGAACCATGCAATTCTATTTTTATTTATTAAAAATAAGTATCCGAAGCAAGAAATGAAACGTTATAAAATCCTAGACGTATTCCATTAACACGTATTCCATTGAACATTGCAACCTCGGAAAATGATCAAATCGTTACAAAAGCCACAAATAAATAAATATTGGTGTGAATCCAGGATCAAAATTGTGAACCCAAAGAAAGTTTTTCTATCTACATGTGATCTGCTAAAGCCACAAAAATTTAAATATTGGTCGGACATGAACTAAAAGCTTCTTCATGTTGCCCTTTATCTCATTTTCGCCTTCCTTGTTTCGAAACTGAGTCCTACATGGATCTCTTAACCAAAGAAATTCCCCCAACGAGTCCTACATGGATCTCTTAACCAAAGAAATTCCCCCAGGATTGCCACCCAACTCTTCAAAAACTATCAATAAGTTGCCGCTCGGTTTCAACCATTCGCGGGGAACATGATACCTGAGATTTTAAAAAGTTTATCATTGAGAATATATGCAGGTAGAAAAAACTAATAAATCAGTGTGCAAGATTAACTCATATTACCATTTCTGGGATGGCTGTCCACAATTAGAAAGACATTTTTTCTCAGTAAAGATTCCAGCATAATTGCATTGCCCACAACCACCACGTGCAGTATTTGTAGGCCAATAGCGCCCGATGCTTCGACCATTAATCCATATTTGACCTTTACTCATACTGCTCATATCTAAAGCTAATGGGTCATTGCCTCCCGGGGTATTGAAAGTGGTCTACAGATTTGGTACATTACAAAATGTCAAGGATCCCACATTAAAAAGAAAATGGACCTAATAATGATTTATAATAGATATGGGTTATTCCTCTCATTGCCACTTGGTTTTGAGATGGAACCCCGTGAATATTGATACAGAAGCTCTCATAATGAGAGCCGAAGAGTTTTTAACCATAGAAAAAGATGCAGAAATTTAAGGATGTTAATTTCAACTTCTCTCACCTTGTACCATGTGAGGGGTTGTTTTTGAACCAACCCTGATCCTTTCGCCCATTGAACAGAATCACTTCCACTGACGGAATGAAGATTCATGAGTTCTCCTTTCAAGCCAACCTGCTCAGGAACATTGTAATTGAGATTCTATAGCTTCTAAAACATTAGTACTACTGCCAGCACACATAGTGAACCAAAATAAATAACCAAAAACCAAAGAGAGGGTAGATTGGTTTGGTAATGTACCTTGTAAGACCATTTATATCTAGACATGTCTCTAGTACCCTCCTTCAGACCCTTTAACGTAACCGGGCCTAAAACGCCAGCATTCCAACTCTCAAAGTGCAGGCCAACATTCTTGACATCAAGCAAATGAAATGTAAGTCGAACTCAGAACCGATAATAAGAAATATATGCAAATCAGAAACGAAGAAACTAACCGGAAGACCGACAGTAACACTCAGCATGGAAAGCTTGTTATCTCCTGCCCTTAGATTAATGTGTTTACTGAATGTTAATTTAGTATTCTCCAACGACCCATATACAGTTCCTACCATTCAGGATGTAATAATGTTGTGATGTTAGAATCATTTAGATGCTGCTTTGAAGATATTTAAGGGAAACACGTGTATTTTCACGTACCGGTTAGTTGGCCATTTATGAAAACATGCAAGACATGGCCGGCTGAAAAGATGGTGAGAAGAGGCCACTGTCCACCCTTGAGGAAGCCTTCGTTCGGATCAATCCTTATACTGCGAAAGATAAATATGATTGATTTTGTTTTCAACATTTCTTGATAGAATATTCAACAAATGGCGAAACTGCAATAGGTGATGGGGTTCTTACTCTGTCATGTACCACAGGTAATCTGTCGTATCCCAGGTGACACTTACTTGCTCCACTAACCCATCCTTGGTTGTTGTATCAGTAGCATAACCAGACGCAACTTCTTCTTTGTACGAAAGCCACCAAAATGAACTAACCGGCGTCATCTTCATGTGTGTACCATGAAACCCAATCTGTAAAGATCCGTTGCATCAAATTTTGTGCTTTCAACATTAAAAATATATTGAAACAAAGAAACTTTGGGTTTTCAAGAGTTTTAAAGCTTCCATTAGCCTATATTTTATCATTTTGCATATTTAACCAACCTTTTTAGGGGCAATATTTAATTCTCGATAATCAGACAAGCATAAGAAAGTGCGGTCTAAGTGATTTCGAATCTTGTCTTACTCTTGCAGTGTTGAAAATTGCAGATTTGCAATCAGGGAGGATGCTGATGGACCAAGGTGGTAGGTCATATTGGGTATTCCAAAAGCTGACTTTGGAAGAAGTTGATATATCATAATTTGCTAGGAAAGCAGCACATGCCCCTGAACTTGACTTGAAGACACGAGCCTTAAATAATCATAAAAGAAAATCCAATTAGCCGGTCTTTCAAAGAAAAATGCAATTATCATTAGATATTCTTTCATCAACTACCTCTAGATTTTTTCCTAACCATGTGACGTTAGGATCTGCTGATACTAAAGCAGGTTCGCACAACTTGATAGCTTTGTGCAAATCTCTCAGGTGTCCCCATTTTGGTTCCCTTTTAAGGCCTGCCATATCCAAGAAAGATTATAAGAGAAATGGAAACATCCGACAACCTACTTTTGGAAGCTACTATTTCTCAAGCTTACCATATTCATCGATCGGAGCATCAAAGTCATAGCTATTGGCGATGAAAAGCCCACTGGATCGGCCGAAGTTAGTTCCTCCATGGTACTGGCACGAGACAAAATTTTGAAAGAGTTAGGAATATGATATCATATCCATTGATGGTTGCAAAACTCTTGATAGCTCATTACCATATAATAATTAAATAAAGAACCACCATTCTGTACAAATCTTGCAACTGAAAAGGCTAAATCTTCAGCTGGCCTATAAGGAACTGCGCCACCAAACGCAGTGTACCTTGGATATTTCACAAATGAAAAGAACGTCAATTCTAGAGGACCGCAGATGACATGTGAGTGAACTTCTAATCCCTCAAAAGTAAGGATATGTCACTTACCAACCAGACCAAACTTCTGTCCATATTTTGGGTTTATTTTCCCGGTTTGGTTTGAAGTTTTCACAGTAAAACCCATTGCAGGTGTCAATCTGAAGTAGAACAAGGTAGATAGAAATTTTGAGAGAGGAGGACAAGAAGTTGATCAAAAATATTATCTCCAAAAAACTACCGAATTAGATCATAAAAAAGTTAATACTTAAAAATAATACATTTAAAAGCATGTACACTCAAGAATCTACTCCATTTAACTGCTCTAGAAACAAAAATGGAAAAACCAGAACTTCCAAAAACTCCTAGGGGGAAGGAAGAACAATATTCCCTTTCACGTTCAAAGGGTTCATTCAGGAGAAAGAAAAGGAAAAAAAAATCACACAGCGATGAAAATAAGCCCAAAAACAAAAGTTTTATATAAAGAAACAAGCATGGCTTCAAGTATATAAAAGGAAAATCCACCAATGAAGGCAACGAAACAAATATCAAGAACCATTAAATGTTGAAATCCCACGGTGAAAAGAGGTTCCCACTTCACATCAAATAAATATAACTCCAATAAGGGAACAATGTCAAAGTTGTGCACTCTTTTTCATTTCATCCACAATTCGAACGAGTTAGACAAACAACCTAGTACATGTTCCTTGGTGCAGACGACATCCCGAGTAGAGAAATTCGTGACAGAGAAGGATCAGAATGGCATACCACAGGGTCAGGGGCATCCTCTTGCTTGCACATCACCCATGGGACCCCAGTGTCAAGACCTAATGCCATTTGAGCAGCCCATTTGGTGTAAGATTTACCAGGGGCACCTATTTCCCATTCCACGGGTCCATATTCATTCTCAATCTGTCACACAAAACATTAAAATGCATTATTGTCAATTTGTTTTTATTGAATGGTCAATTTGCAGGAAACCAAATTTTGAGTCCAAGTAAAGCTTCTCGTTCATATGTTTTGGAAGTTACCTGAGACAAAATAATGGGTCCTCCTTGGCTTTCATATAACTTCTCCGACTTCATCATACCAACAATCTTCTCAGTGAATTTTTGCATAGCCGCCTTGATTAAAGACAATTAAATCCCTTGCATGAGAGAGTGAGGACTGAGGATGTTCATGGACAGTTAAGAAATTTCTAACCTTGAAGGGTTCATTTTCTGTCCTAAAGACGATGCCAGGAACATGCTTTAGCCAAATTGGAAATCCACTGAATTATTAAAGTTTTTAAAAAAATTAAAGTCAGAATAGAGCCACATGAAGACAAATTATTAATAAGACTCTGGTAAATATCTTTGTATTTACCCATAGTTCCATTCTGCACAGACATATGGACCAATCCGGAGATGAACATATAAGCCTGCTTGTTGAACCAGCTTTATAAATCTCACCAAATCGTATCTATCCTCAAAATAATACTGTAAATTTGCAAAACAAAATATCAAAAAACCACTATAATCTAAACCCAAAAGACAAAAACAAAGTATTTCCCACTCTACCTTGCCCTGAGTAGGTTCATGGCCATTCCAGAATACATATGTCTCTATAATATCCAACCCTCCATCTTTGGCATTTTGTATAAGGCTCGGCCACATCTGCAACCAAAAAGAGTTTTAGAGGGAGAGAAATATAAAGCACCTGCAATTTACATTAGATGTATTCAAACCTGGGGTGTGCTTCTTGGGTAATGAATAGAGCCAGAAACCAAAATTCTTCTCTTGCCATTAATGATGATGGCTTTCTGGTCATAAGTCACAGTGGCCATCGCATAACAAACCCATGAAAGCAAACCCAAAAACAACAGCACACACTTTGACATTCTGAAAATTTTGCAACCCAGCTCCTCTGCTCCTCAATGCAATTTGTACCGTATCTCACTCTCGTGCATAGATAACATATATTTTCATTTTCAGTCAGTGAAAGCAGTGGAAAGAGGATGGATTTCTTATTCTTCTTTTTCTTCTTCTCTTCTCTCTATCTCTCTTTTGAGGAAGAAAACAGGCAGAAAGAGAACAAGTGAGGCAAAGACAACAATTTTGATGGAATAGTAAGCTACGCTGCAAGGACGAGGTGCTATATAAGTATTTGAAGCATGAGAAACGGAAGGGAGGGTCCATGTCACTGTCTTTATTTAGGACCTGCCTCTGCCACTGGCTTTCTTTCTGCCATTTCCAAACCAATCTGTTAGCAAAAATTGGCATCTTTTTAGGAGTAATTCTACTCATTTAAAATTCAACGATTATCATCATTTCACTTCGCATGAATACAAACGAGTAAACTCATCGCTCTTGAAATAGAATAATGTGCAATATTTAAGGAATATCTAAGCTGGATGGAGGACCAGGACTTTATAATTTTGGTATGATTCATATAAATAATAAATTTTTATTTGAATTCTAAAAAGTTTAATTTTTAAAAAACTATATATTAAAAAACAAAAATTGAGTTAATTAATGTCTTAACATATTTAGAAATACAATCCTTATCCAACATAATATTTAGAAAGGTAAAATTGGTTCAGCCTAGTATTCTTTCCCTTTTCCTTGTCAAACACTTTTCTGTTAGATAATAACTGTAACAGCCTTATCTATTCTTTGAATTTCTTTTACTGTTGTTAATAATATTTTGGGATAAATTAGAGGATGAGGAGCTAACTTTAGTAGGTCTATATTTATCTTAGAATTGGCCTTATGACGATAATTAAGCTTATTTACAAATTAGCTTCTCATTTTATAATATACCTTTTTAAAAATATTTTAAATGAATGGTAAATTTTTTAATATTTCAAATTTATATTGAAACAATGAAAAATAAACCAATATTAGACAAGTTAAATTTTTTTAAAACTAAAAATGAATAACAAAATCATTATTAAATGAAAACTTAGATAATTTGGAGAACATTTTTGGTAAAGTGACACATACTTGTATGACCCGTCCACAAAGTTAAATCAACAAGCCATACTTTCATAAAAAATCAAACCTTAACAATTCGAACAAATTAAGGTATCTCAATATCCGATATTATCATGTCAATTTTGCCCATTAATTAATTAGATAATACATCAATTTGATTTAAATATATTGTTGCATCGTATTTCTGACATGTATTAAAATTCTATCTTGATATTCACACTTTTCTATTCATTGCGAAAACCAGGAAGTTTGGCCGAGGAGAATTTGCATATAACTGATAGGAAAGATCTACAGAAAGATTCATACCAAGAAAACAGAGGCAAGTGCTCCTCTAGCAAGTTCCTCGGCCAGACTACGGTTATTCCTAGAAGATGTAGCTTTATAGCTGCAAATGACATTCAGTGTGGTTAAAAGTGGCCTCAAATATAGACACCATGAGAAGATTACAGTTACACTTGATGTATTCAAATGATACTAACATGTCATTGCAAAAAATGAAACTTCATTGTGTTAGATAATCACAATAACAATTGATCTAACCAAATCTCAAACCCAAGTGTCATCAATAACTATTTCATAATATTAATATCATCTTAACAGAGACACACTAAAACCACAGTCTGAATTGGAAACATCTGTGCTCTCCCTACGTTGCAACAACATAAAGCAACAACATTTTTTTCTTGCATACAGTCACAACAATCAAGTAAAAAGTGACAATAAACAGAAACTTAAAATCATCGTTTCAAATCTACAACAAACAAGAACAGCAATAACCATATTACTTATAACTTGTTAGTTTCATAGTGTCCAAGAGAAATGACCATTTACTCAATTCTCCACACAAAGTGTGAGAAATGTAGAGGAAATTTTGAAGCCCGATGAATGATTTATCTCTCAAACCAATGGTTTCAGAAAGCAACAAACGCGGGGAAGTAGACCGTATGAAAGTAAAAAGACTCTAATTCTACTTACATGAAAAACGGAGCAGCAACAATGAGGCGAACGGCGACAATTGAGACCGCAAGGGTTGAGCACCACACTTCGGGGACGGGAATCGTAACAGGTTTCGGAGCCTGCAGAATCATGATATCCACGAAGTTACAAAATGCGAAGTGGCAAATAAATCGAAATCAAAATGTTGGCAGAGAAATCTCATGGACTTCAATTTGACTCACCATCGAATGCAGCTGCAGCGGAGGGAAAGAAGAGAGTGATTCCACAAAGATTTGTGGTTTTCTCCGATGAACTCCGTCTCCAACTGAAGGAATGAAGACTCAACAATTGGGTTTCAACTTCAATCAGAAATATACTTTCCTGAAATGAAATGACCAATTTTGACTCCCAATTTGTATTTTAGTTATTATTTATTTTTCCATCAACAACTAAATACGATGTTTTGACCCATTGAGTAATTTTCAAATTCGCTAATACATGATGTGTTAATTAAACCAAATGAGTGTAGATTTAGCGGGATATGACGAACGTTTGTTAATTTGAATCGTGCTCAATTGATTTAAATAATGACTTTTTGATCGAAGAGATATGTTTTAGTTGGTTGAACTAAAAGTGGTGAATGATAAATTTGATAAAGTAAAAAGAAAATTATTGATTTTTATACTTTCTTTTATCATTCATGATAGCTCATACACTTCTAATTTGATGTCACCTATTTTATTTAGTTATTGATATAGCTCTACTCATTTAACTAATACATATTACCCTCTCTCTAAGATTGATTGTTTGATTTTTCCAATTTTCAAAATTGTTGAACTAAAAAATAAAAAGAAAATAAAAATAGCGATTTTTGTTAAATTACAACCATCATGGGTGGCCACCTATCTTATGAATTAGTAATTCCTGTGTGTTTTCTATTCACCAAATATTGTAGGATAAGCGAAATGCACCATTCAAATAGAAGGAAAATTTCATTACCAAGAAACAAATTTTTAATAAAAAATCTTTTTTAGTTATAACAAATGTGGAGATAGAAGATTGTTAATTTGATCACGTGCATCAAAAGATGCTTTCTATAGTTGGGTGTGGAAAGTTTGACATTGAAAGGTATGACTAATGAGGATGTCATGGCAGAACCGAATGCTTATATTGTCTACATTTTGATAGAGACCATGTTTGTAGGGCTACTTCATCATTTAAAACTGTTTACTTCATCGAGCAATCAAAAATATTTGACATCATTCAGAATCAACTCTCATAAAGTATAATGATTATGTATTGTGCTTAAACATTTGTATTGTATTCAAACGTTACAATCTCGACCGATGATCGAATAATTACATAAGCCCCAAATAAACAAATATGGGTTTGAATCTGGGATCAAAGTTCTGAACCCAAGAATAGCTTTTCTTTCTATGTACGTAGCAAACTTCTTCACTATCTACATTTGGCATAAAAATGGTGTTTGGTTTTGGTATTTTTCTCCACTTATTCTCTTGCGAGTTTGAACATTACAGTCCGAGACGCCCGCTGCTGTCCTGAGCTTGGCAAGAACTTTATGCAACTCAGGATGAACTATAATTTGAAAAATCTATAGATGTATTTTGGTGAAACTAGAGAGAAACGTGAGGCATGATTGAGTTTAGTTGTAGACAGCCTCTCAAAGCTTCTTGGTGTTATCAGGACACGGATCTCTTAACCAAAGAAATCCCATCAGGATTGCCACCCCATTCTTCAAAAATTACCAATACGTTCCCGTTTGGATTCAACCAAGCGCGGGGAACATGATACCTGAAATTTTAAAGATGTTATCGTTAAGTATGCATCAAGACGAAACTTATAAATATTTGTCCAGAGGGTGTCTTTTTACCATCTCTGAGATGGTTCTCCACAGTACGATTGACATTTCTTCTCATTAAAGGTTCCAGCATAGCTGCATTTGCCACAACTACCGTGTGCGATGTATGCAGGCCAATGGCGCCCGATGCTCTGACCGTTAATCCATATTTGACCTTTACCCATGCTGCTCATATCCAATGCTAGCGGTTCGCTGCCTCCTGGGGCATTGAAAGTCGTCTGCAAATTCAATATATTTTAAGAAACTCTCGTTATATCAAAATCCGAAAAGTTTTTAACCATAGAGAAGCTGTGGAAACTGAAGGATGTTAATTTGAACTTCTCTCACCTTGTACCATGTGAGGGGTTGTTTTTGAGCCACCAATGAACCTTTCACCCATTCAACAGAACTACTTCCACTAACAGTATGAAGATTTAAGGCTTCTCCCTTCAAGCCAACCTGCTCAATGACATTGTAATTGTGATTCTTTAGCTTCATACCAAACTGAAATAAATAACCGAAATCGAAAGAGAGGGTACACTGGTTTGCTAATTTACCTTGTAAGACCATTTATATCCAGACATGTCTCTAGTACCCTCATTTAGCCCCTTCAACGTGACGGGGCCTAAAATTCCCGCATTCCAAGTCTCAAAATGCAGTCCAACGTTCTAACATCAAGCAAATGAGAGCGTTAGTCGAACTTCAAAACAATATGATTTTGAAGAAGCGTATGGAAATCAGAAACTGAAGAAACTAACCGGGAGACCAACAGAAACACTAAGCATAGAAAGCTTGTTGACTCCTGCCCTTAGATTAACATATTTACTGAATGTTAATTTAGGATTCTCCATACCACCATATACAGTTCCTACATTCAGAATATAATAACACTATGAAGTTAGAATCATTTGGTTCGTGAATGGAGAATAATCTTCAAGGAAAAATATGTTAAGTTTCATGTACCAGCTAGTTGACCATTGATGAAAACATGTAGCGCATGGCCTGCTGAAAAGATGGTGAGAAGAGGCCATTGACCACTCTTTAGGAAGCCTTCGTTCGGATCGATCCTTATACTGAGAAAGATAAACATGGGGCATGGTAAGATATAAATGACTTTTTTCATCATTTATCAACAAAATCCATATACGGTGAATCTGCAATAAGTGATGGAGTTCTTACTCTGTCATGTACCACAGATAATCTGTTTCATCCCTAGTGATACTTATTTGCTCCAATAACCCAGCCATGGTTGTTGTATCGTCTGCATAAGCAGAGGCAGTTTCTTCATTGAATGAAAGCCACGAAAATGAAGTAACTGGCGTCATCTTAATCTGCGAACTCTGAACCCCAATCTGCAAAGATTCTTCTCATCAAATTTCATCCTTTCAACATAAAATTGATATCCAAAAAAAGAAACTTTGTGGTGGGGGGGATCATTATCCTGTGAAGGTTCAGTTTAAGCGATTTCGAAACTTGTCTTACTCTTGCAGTGTTGAAAACAACAGACTTGCAGTCAGGGAGGATGCTGACGGACCAAGGTGGTAGGTCATATTGAGCATTTCCAAAGCTGACTCTTGCAGAAGCTGAAGTGTCATAATTTGCTAGAAAAGCAGCACATGCCCCAGATCTTGTCTTGAAGACATGAGCCTTAAATAATCATCCAATAAGTCCAATTAGCCAATCTTTCAAATAAAAATGAAACTATCATTAGATATTCTTTCATCAACTACCTCTTGATTTTTTCCCATCCATGTCACGGTAGGATCAACTGAAACTAAAGCAGGTTCGCACAACTTGATGGCTTTGTGCAAATCTCTTAGATGTCCCCATTTTGGTTCCCTTAATAGGCCTGTCATATCCAAGAAATATTGTCATGCTAATAGTAACATTTGAGAACCAACTTTTGGAAGTTTCTATTCCTACATGCTTACCGTATTCATCAATCGGAGCATCGTAGTCATAGCTAGTTGCAATGAAAGGTCCACCGGCTGTGCGGCCAAAGTTAGTTCCTCCATGGTACTAACAAGAGAGAAAATTTGTAAAGAGTTATGGATATGATTTTCATTGATCAGCCAATGTTAATGAAACACTCTTGATAATTCATTACGATATACTAATTTTATTTTTTTTTTGAGAAACATTACCATATAATAGTTAACTAAAGAACCACCATTCTGTATGAATCTAGCAACTGAAAAGGCCAAGTCTTCAACTGGCCTATAAGGAACTGGTCCACCAAACTCCGTGAACCTTTAATATTTCATATATGAGAAGAATGTCAATTCCAAAGGAACTCAGATGACATGTAAGTGAACTTCTAATCACTCAAAAGTCAGAAATTTTCGGTAGCAATTTGGCGGATATAGGCAGGATAAGTAACTTACCAACCGGTCCAAGCTTCTGTCCAAATTTTGGGTTTATAAACCTGGTTCGGTTTGAAGTTTTCGCAGTAAAACCCATTGCATGTATCAATCTGAAGAAGAACCAAACCAAGTAGACAGAAGTTTTAAGACAGAAGGATATAGCAGATGACAAAAAAAGCTTCTCTTCAAGAATCTACTGATTTAGATCATAAAAGAAGTTAATACTTAAAGAAGACATTTAAGCTTGTCCACTCAAGAATCTAAAGCAATTTAACTGATTCAGAAACAAACAAAATAAAACTTCCGAGGACAGCTCTAAAAAGAGTAAAAATAGGGGGAAAAGGAAGAAGAATATTTCTTCTTCACCTCCAAAGAGTTTAAGACAATGAAAATAAAGAAAAGGACAAATTCGCCTGGTGATGAAAATAAGCCCCAAAACAGGAGCTTTTATATTAAAAGGCAAGCATTGCTTCAAGTGTCTCAATGGAAAATCCACCAATTAAAGCAAAAAAAGGCTCATGATCAAGTACCGTTATATGTTGAAATCCCACCAAGAAAAGAGGTTTTCACTTCACATTAAATGAACATAACTCGAACTCATAATGGACTGATATCAAAGTTCTGTATTCTCTTTTGTTTTGTCGATGATTCCAACGAGTTACAAAAACAATGTTAAAAGTGTTGGTAGACACTAAATTTACCATCACTTTTTTGGTTCAATGATAATTTAACACCGTATCATACTAAGAGGACCTGTATTCGAACTTCTATAATATCCTTTTGTCCTCAAATAATAATCACCTGTTGGATCTTGTGCAAAATTTCAAGCTAACAAATGAAGAGTGATATAGAATTGATAAAAGATCAAATTTATTTAACAAATAACCTAGTACATGTTCCTCGATGTAGAAGGAATCCCCAAAAGGAAAAGAAACCCGTGATAGAAATGGAGGAGAATAGCTTACCACTGGGTCAGGGGCATCTTCTTGCTTGCACATCACCCATGGGACCCCAGTGTCGAGACCTACTGCCATTTGAGCAGCCCATTTGGTGTAAGATTTACCAGGGGCACCAATTTCCCACTCCACCGGTCCATATTCATTCTCAATCTATCACCGAAAAAACACAGAAGAAAACATACTTTCAAATT